CAAACCATTTAAACTCTGCCCTGGGAATTAGAAGCTCTTCATTAAGAAGATGTATGACGCCTCAGGGTGAAAGCCGAGTTCCTTCGGAAGACACGAGGCCGATGCCCCTTCTTACAACCAGAGTAACAATTTTTATAGGTACATGGAACGTCCGGACAATGTGGGAGACCGGGAAGACCAGTCAAATAGCAACGGAAGTGAGGAGATACAACTAGGCAGTACTGGGAATCAGCGAAACCTATTGGACCCAAGCTGGACAACAAAGGCTAAATACGCGAGAGATGCTGCTATACTCCGGTCACGAAGAGGAAGATGCCCCACACACGCAGGGAATTGCTCTAATGCTGTCCAAAGTATCACGAAATGCACTTGTAGGATGGGAATCTCACCAATCCAGAATCATCAAAGCACCATTCAAAACAAAGGAGGAGGGGATCACAATGAATATTATCCAGTTTTATGCACCCACCAATGATAGCAACGACGACATTAAAGATTAATTCTATGAGAGGCTGCAATCAATCATAGAGAAGTGCCCAAGAAAGGACCTCACTATTCTGATGAGAGATCTAAACGCCAAAGTCGGAATGGACAACACCGGATATGAAGATATCATGGGACTACATGGACTGGGAGAGAGAAACGAAAACGGAGAAATATTTGCAAATCTGTGTGCATTCAACAAATCGGTCATAGGCGGCACGATATTTCCACACAAACGTATACACAAAGCTACATGGATCTCACCGGACCACACCACAGTGAATCAGATAGATCACATTTGCATCAATAAAAAGTTCCGAAGGACAATGGAAGATGTGAGAACAAGGAGAGGAGCGGATGTAGCTTCAGATCACCATCTGGTTGTGACCAATTTAAAACTGAAGCTGAAGAAGAACTGGACAACTGGACAAACAGCGCTGCAAAGGTTCAATACAGCCTTCCTTCGAGATACCGACAAACTCAATGAATTCAAGATAGCTTTCAACAACAGATTCCAAGCCCTACAGGATCTACTGAAGGAAGAAGAAACTACTATGGAGGACAACTGGAAGGGTATAAAAGAGGCATTTACTTAAACGTGTCAAGAGGTTCTGGGCCTCAAAAAGCATTATCACAAAGAATGGATCTCTATAGAAACACTGGACAGGATCAAAGAAAAGAAGAACAAAAAGACGGCAACTAACAACAGCCGAACACGAGCAGAGAAAATCCAAGCACATGCTGAGTACGGAGAAGCAAACAAGAAAGTGAAGAAGAGCATTAGGGCCGATAAGCAGAAATACGTGAAAGAACTCGCAACGACTGCGGAAAAGGCTTCTAGAGAAGGAAATATGAGACTTTAATCAATGGGATTACAGGTAGTTATATTGAGTCAGTCCAGTATAGAAATCAATAGTAGGAAAGAAATTACAAGTTAAGTAGTGAATATATGTGTCTGTCATTTCATGCTCAGTGGCCAGTGATATTTACTTTCGCGAGCCACATATCAGTAAGTAAGTTTTAGGGATTTAACTGCCCTAACAACAACTCATGTAAAAAATAACTAGATTACTTATATTCTTTTCAATCATAGATTAATTAAAATGATGCATCAGCGACCTTGATCTTCCAAACACTATACTATTTACGAAATAGATCAAATCAGTGTTTACAACCGTGTTTTGAATAAAAGGTAGTTATAAAACTTCTGTCTATTTAATATCAGCAAAGCGAAGTACAAACAATAAAATTATGTATATGCGTGTAATTCAGATTGATCATAGGTAATTATGTGCGTAATATACCTCGATAGATGATTAGTGACGACGACAGAAATTTAAGTATCTGTTTAACAAACCTAGTCAGTCAAAATTCACCTCACACTAGAAAAAGGAAAATGTGGTATATCAATATTTGTCTATATTCTTGCCTTTTAATGAATTGACTACAACTTTTGAAAATAAAGCCACATCCTTGATTACGACCCCAATACCACGGTTTGGCCATAGAAATATTTACATTATACCATCTGAAAGATGAAGAGTTAATGAATATTATTATTACTATTATTATATTTTATAATAAAAATCTACTGACCGTTCAAAGAATTCACTGATAGGAATCGTTTATTAGCTCCTAACAATCAATAATCTTAATTGATTCAATTTATAAGCTAAAATAATACAGTGAATGGATTAAACTGGTATAACAATCAAACTAAATCAGATAAATCAACTAATCGGACATAATAAATAAGAAGTTTCGTCTAAATTTGAACGAATAGATTCACAATATTTGGGCTCCGAGTTAATGTGAGACATTAAAGAGGAAGAATGTATTTATATAATCTCAGCGAAGGACTTTGAAGTAAATCCAACGTTTCGCCTGGCAATCTGGTCGAAGCTTTTTCAAGGAAAATATAATCAAACAACGAAATTATCGGACATAATTATTTAAAAGTAACTCATAATTTATATTTATTACTCTAATCTTTTGCTCCGTCTACTAGGACTACATGAATACTTGAGCGATGTGTAAAATCGAAGTAGCGAATTTAATTAAAATTTCATCACGAAGCTAAGCAGCACATTAGTGTTATGTTTAATTTTAGTTGCAATTATTCTGATAATTTCATTTCCGCAAATCGTGCAATGGAATAGTTCATAGGATAAGAAGGCTCTCTGAAAATACAGATGGTTATGAATGAATACTCGTAGTCGATCAGGCATCGGCCAAGTGAGATGTTAGATTTTCTGACAGGTGCAACCTATGGGTCAACGTTCGACTTTAGAAGAAGACCGATACACACTATTGATCGGAAACCTGTTTTAGTGTCCCGGGAGCAATAGACATATATTTATGGGAAGTCATCCATACACTTACGATTAGAGTTTAATTAACAAAGCTTCCTGATATTTATCAGCGTTCTCACACAAGTAGCAGAACGAGATCACGAATAGGAAGATTGTATAACAGTAACAGTTCACGTTTTACACAACTTTGAAACTTATACATTTTAATTATCATCGTCTTAAGCTTGTAGTTACATAGTGAGAAAATGTAACAAAATCTTCACCATCGATAAACATGTTCACATATTCCATAAAACACTGTTTTCAAATTTACCCAGTATCTTTGAAGTAGCTAAGAGTTAAACCAGAAACAGACATCATGATGTCGCGAGTAGGAGACATAGCTTCACCCTGAAAATTAAAGCACAATAATGACATTGAAATAATCATTCGAGAGAATACTTATGACTTGATATTTGTTAAATTTACTGTAAACTTACAATAGACAGACGTCGTTCGAAGTGTGTAAGTTCAGACCCAGCGCCACCATCCGATTCTAGATCGACCGCATCAAGCTCATTGCATCGAAAATGTTCTCTTGCAAAGTTCTATTTGAAAGAAGAGAAGATAAAAATAAACTTACCTAGATTCTTGTCTGAATGTCAAATATGCATCAAGAGGCTACATTTATCAGGTTGGTTGTAGTCAACAAAACTACTGCAATTCGACAGTTTTTATTTAAAGAAACATGTAATTTTATGTTGTAATGGAAGGGCTATTAAGATATATTTGTAGTAATGACCGTTACGTTCAACTGTTTGCCAATATTGTGTGAGAGTCATACTGATGCGTGAATTGAACGAGGCGGTAGAGACACATAAGTAATCCTTCAATCCATATATGTGCGTGTCAATGTAAATACAGTAAAAAGGCCAGTACACACAGTTTTTAGACAGCTTTAAATAGACAAACGAAGGATGACTGGTGATAATTTACTAAGAATGGATAGAATTTTTTAAAAGTATGGACTGATGGTCGTTGGTCTTTTATACTTCCTCCTCGTTCAGTGCTAGTTAGTATTGGGAGAACCACCAAGCACAGAGTATCAGTTTCCCTCGTCCTTTCCGCGTCTACGCGTATTAATTGGCTGTAAGACATAACAGTTTGTACACGCACAATGAAGTATGTTGATCGACATAATGATCGAACTCTGTATAAAATGAACTGACTTGGCACTGAACTGTATGATTTGTAGATTGACCGTGAATTCCATTGTTTTGGTATACACTATTGCTAATATAAGTGTTAAAGTATAATGATAATATTTTCAAAAGTAAATTGATTTATCATGATTTCCAGTCGAAAATTTACCATAGATGTGAACTGTTTATGATAATAAACCAAACATTCATTGATAACATCCACCTAATTAAGACGAGAGAAAACAAATTAATCAATTTAACGAACATTTTCTCTCTTCATATGCCAATAAAACAAGCTCTGGGAGTAAACCACAATAAAACATCACAGAATCAGTGAAATATGTGTAAAGTCAACGATATACTTACTACTACACTTGGTAATGTTAATCCGACTCTATTGTACGTCTGCTCACTGGAGACTGTACTCCAGTTCCTGGACACGTATTTTATAGTATTTCTGAAAACAAGGTTCCAATAAGTAAATTGATACTGCAACGTTTGAAATGTACTTTGAAAAATCAGTCATTTTATCTGATATGTGAATAGTATTGAGATAATAAGAAGTTATATTGCTTGTACAGACTCTGTCTGTCTTGACCTGAATATCTGAACTGAAATTCTTACACATCAATGAATATGTGGCTTTTATTAAGATCAGTCATAGAACAATATTGGGAATTGAATGGGAAATTTACACTCCATGATTCATTCAATGTCATTCATAATGGAGTCGATTCGTTGCCAAGGAGCAACTGATGATTCAATTACTGATTGAATTAGTTACTCCATGCCAGTAATTTGTAACGGACTACTTATCTACCCTATAAACGAACTGTTCAAATTAAAAAGCTCAGCATGATTTGAGGAAACTGGAATATTTACAATAATTACGTAGAAAGTGTTCTATTAGTTGGATTCGAGAAAGAATTTGGAACTCCATCGCTTTATGTATTTTAAATAAGACAGTGTTGTGTTAACGCAAGATGCTAAGACAGAGTTGAGTAGTGTTCTGAATGTTCCTTACCTATCAGCTTTTAATCCTTCGTTGGCTTCTTTTGGCAAATCCGGTTCACCAGTATGTTGGTTACGTCTTGTTCTAGGACTACCATCATCATGACGTAGGTAAGGAAACAACCAATAATTAAAGCCCTGTTCAATAAAATAATATTTTATTATTCATTACAATCATTTGAACGAATTTCACAGTGGCATTAAGAGACATGTCAAATAATTTTATTTATTATTGCTATTTTCTGCTATTTTCTTAACACCCTCATCAAAAGTGGAGTAAAACAATACACTTGATCTCTTCGATAAATTTAAAGGCATTTAGTGCACCCGTACATTCAATCATTTGCTAAAATTAATTCTCTAACGTTTAACGACTGTAAGTATCCCAATACATTTCTTAACAAAACGTTCTGTTGTACAAAGTGGATCATAACAAAGGTCTAAAACTAGAGCTGTCACATTGTTCTTCAGTTTTCAGTTTGTTGCAAGTCACACGGGTTACTACACCTGACGAATTATTCAAAACTGCGAGTAAAGCAATAATTATAATTTAGTAAAACTGTTGCATTGCGCATATTGTGTAGTGACTTCAAAAGTCATGGTTACAAGAATACAATACAAGAATCAATAAACTGTGTAATTAATAGCTGTTTTACTCACGAATGTATGTCCTAACTCATGAATAATAACTCGTTTCAGTTCGCCTGGATTTTGATCAAGAAATTTCATGGCTGAGCAAATTACAATTGAACCGGCGATCGGCCTTGCTTACAAACAAAAATAATTCAATCGCAATTATTAAGGAAGAAATTATGTAAATAATAAGTGGTGTGAATCGTAATAACTGACAAGTCTTCGACTCATTGAAAAGTTGGCAGCATTTAAGGTAACTACGGTGACCACGAAATCTACTGTATCACAGATGGTGGAAATTTACAAGAAAAATTCAGAGAAAAGATGCACTAATTTGAATATTTCGAATAAATTTTGACAGAAATAATGTTTTGGAAGCAAGTAGATTTTCGTCGTATAAATTGGCACATTCCTAAATTGTTTCCTACATAACTAATACAACTGTACATAGTGAATCAGAAACATACAACTGTTCTTTTCAATTTTATTTTTTATGTCTAATAATGATAACATCTCACCACCAGATCGATCAATCGCATCACATCACTGTACGACGTTTTCAGTGAAATGTTCAAAAATCCTAACTCAGGACAACACCGGCATGCTAACCACGTGTATAGAAGTGTTTCCTGTTTCACAAAATCGAGACACACAATTTAAATTTTCATCAACACTGACGACGGCCACGTAAAATCATTGTGTGAATAATCGTAGCCAGTTCAGAAAATCTGCTAGTTAAAATTGTCAAATGAAGACTTAATAGAGAATGCAATGTTCAGTCTAGCGTACTGTATATGACGCTGAGTTTGAAAAAGTAACATTTCTGATCTCAATGTTTAACACAATATCTGTGAGATCACGAAGTAGTTTAATTTTGTTCACTCGTATGTTATCTGAATTAAATTGGTTTTTGGGAGGTAGTGAAGTAATCATTGCGCTTGTTTGTTACGCTTGGCAGCGATTTGTCCGTATTGTTAGTAGACAATTAAGACGTTGTGATACTTGAATGATATGAGAAACGAAATTGAAGAACATTTGTGGTACTAAAATTTGGATAAGTTAGTCTCGGTATTAGATTTTAACCTAACGCAAACAAAAAGTTTCACACACCAACCGATCTGTTACTTACCTATCTGTGTCTAAATCCTGCTGACAATAGTCAGCTGCAGCTAACGTTTTTTCAAATCCACAATCGTCACCCGAACGGATAAAAAGAATAAAGTCACTTTTGTCTGACTTTGTGACTTGGACGTCTTTCACAACATCATTTTCAGATGAACGACATTTCTATAGAGTCGGAACATTTGAAAGGTTTGCGTAAAATTGTCGTAGGACAAAACATAAAAATTGTACTCGAAATGTTTTAAGCTACTTTTGTTGTCACAACTGATGCAATGATTATTATTATGTACACTTAAAGTTTTTCGAAGCCGGAAATCAGTGTTTTGTTTTTTCATGGGTGACCGTCATATTACATGAAAAATCCAAATAACCGAGTTAATATTACCGATTAACAACACGACCGCTGAAGCTTCACTTCCATAGCCAGTGTCGATTGATGCAATCTAAATTAGATAACAAATCTCTGTACTTCGACCATGTTTGACAATGAGCACAAATCACCTTTGTGTTTAGAATGATAATCCACCACGAGACACTCTATGGGTGTCTCCCAGAGTTTCTTTAACTTTGAGAACAATTGTTAACTCTTTTGCATGATTACAAAGAAAAAATATTCAGAGGGATGTTGAAAATGATACAGTATCTGACATGATCACACCCCGGTAAAAATGAAATTCAATGGACAATTTAAGCACACCGAAACAGACTAGAGATAACATTGATAACCGACGAGTTTGACAGTTCGGTTATTTATCAGTATGATGCAGCAAGATTTCCCAGCGTACGTGTTTGGCAGCAAGAATTTCATCACATAAAATCTATGACACTCGGAAACGTATCTTACTCTCTGCCACTGGACACCAACTGAAATAACTTTCATGTTAATTCATATGCAACGTTTAGCAATCCTGTTGTGGTATATGCTAACTATGCCAACAGATAAAAGTAGCATGTAGCAGCAATCGGAAGTGGAATACCTGCCAGCATAAGATGGAATTGAAGAGAACAGGAAGGCTAACAAATAACAATGTAACGGCGACAGACTTTAAAGAAACACAAAGTATGTAAAAGGAAACTGAAGGAAGATGTGCAAATAATGTATTTAATGCACGATTTCCCTATTTCACTGGGGTATTGTGTAAGTAATAAGTAGATTTACCTCATTTGAGTTTACGCTAACTACACTGTATTATTTTGGAAATAATGTAGATCTAGACGTGATTTACTTTCCCATGACACATTAGAGTGTTGTGAACTCATAAATTACTGCAGAGGTAACGAATCGAGAAATTATAAACGATATGCAATTCACATTTCGTGTGAAGTCATAAATCATGTACTTCATAGGATTGTTGAGGAATGAACTGTTTATGGCCTACACTAAATGGGATGTCTTCTGATGATGGACGAGATATAATCTCCACGCTAAAGGTGCGACAAATATCCTATCATTTCAAATGGGCAACTGACCTGAAGATACTTCTCTGGGATTTCAAAACCGTTACATAATGTCACATTATCACAACCACCATCGCAGTAATGATAACGTGGCAGCCTTGTTGATCGAACTCGTTTATTGCAATTGCTAGTGTATTGGAAAGGAGATTAAACAACAGGAAAAGAAATGTTTATTTATCACTGTGAGTGCACATCATTGTATAATTACACTTTCAAAAAGTAGACGGCCGTCGACCACGATTTGCTGTGTCAGTGTTTACCTCTACCATCTGCATTGATATCCACTTGTTGTGCATATCAAGGCTGTTCTCTTCTCAAACTTAATTCATTTCTGTCAGAGATGTTCTCAAAACACCACCTCCTTAGTTTGGGTTTTCACTGGTTGGGTGTCTTCTTCGACACCAGTCGACCACTGGATATACGGTATGAATGAATACCTGTTTAGTGAAGGCCCTGAAACTATGTAGAGAATTCAGAACACATTGATTAGGAATAAAACAATTATAAGGATGGAATTCTTTTCCAACAGTGCAATTTGTCGCATGAGGACTAGCTTTCATCTACACTTTGACCGACGGCACTCAGTGAACCGTTTGACCAAGCTGATGACTGGTAATTTTCTTGGACACATTATGATACTAGATGGATTGTTGGTCGACAAAATATCAGTACGTTTGTCTGCTTACTATGATGACGGTAATCTGTTCAACAATGCTCTATGTATTGCTGTATTACTGTTATCAGTTCACTCTAGATTAAAAGGTAAAATAACATTAATGTCTTAGTGTTTGTGAAACGTATAAATATGTTGTTCTAGTTTCTTTGTATAATAGGCGTGATAATAACCAGATTTTAGTGGACATTCACAAACTATACGTTTGCTAGTCATCCAGTTAATGTCTTAACATCTTTCAAAAGGTGTCACAAAACGTGGAAAGTGTTCAACTTTACTTCGCAAATATACGGTACATCAAAATGATTGAAACACGCACATCTGTAGAAGAGTAGAGTGCGTTTTTGCTGTAATTTTGCCACCATCGCTACACTGCCAAATGTTGTTGATGTAGTCAAACTAATTGCAAGATGTGTTTAACAAATCCCAAATAGCTTTTGTCACAGATGCAGATGAGTTTTATGACTTTCAATGATGTCGGCGTTAGTATAATAAAGTGGTGATTCTGATACACTACAAGTTTACTTCCGTATGAGAACAGACAGAGAATAAAGGTGGTTTGTTCCCTGAACGAACATCACATAACATATCAGCATAAATGTTTAGGACGACAGGTCAACTGCAACAAAGTGAATCCTAACAATATCACAACATGGAAATTACCCAATTTGTATGACTGTTAATAAACTGACCGTTCTATTAATATTTGTCGGGTGGAGCTTTGCTTCGGTTGTATTGCCTTTGTCCAGAATATCAAAGCATCTTTGACCTGCCTCTGCAATTCACAAAAGTATTCCAATCAAACAGCAGATTAAAAAAGTTTAGTTTTGAAGACTATCGAATATTCAGTGACTGTTAATCTTGGTGAGATTCTCAGTATTCCATAATAATGATTATCACAGATCAATGAGTCATACAACTTATTGTTTCTCAATTGTTTCGTAGTTTTTTTGGAAGAACAAAGTGGAGTGACGAAATCGGTGACCCAAATCAGTCTACCAGTATTCTGATCTGAAACGGTCACAGACGACTAGTGATTTAAGCTCCTGGTTTATTGCTGAATAAATTAATAACCGTATTTAATACTGGATTTGAAGTGTTGTCGAATTCCAAGCTGCAACATCGTTGACTAAACTGTGTAATGCACACTCTATGGTAAAGACCTGACACCTGTCCTTTGAAAACACTCGTAGTAATGCACTTGTGCCAGATTCTTAACGCTTTTATTTTCAGAAGAGGTTTTATGGAGATTTTAGTAGTTTCAGTAGTTCAAATCATGAGTCAATTGAAGCTAGACCACCATGGAAAACCTGGAAGCACAAGACGGCCGTTTCGTCCTAGTATGGAACTCCTCAGCAGTGCGCATCCACGATCATACATCTATCAAATCCCGACATTTCCTGCTACCTTGGCCTGGTGATCGAGCTTGCCTATCATCACGAAGCGATCGAGCTATGCTGGCTGGAACAATAGTTCCTCAAAGTCCTACCATACCAGACTGGTCGATTGAAGAGAAGTAAGATCAAAAGCAGCAAATCTGTGGTCCGAGGGTGAAGTATTACTGCTAACTGTACATAGGTGTGATGGAAGCAATGGCTTTCTTTCAGACAACCAGCATAACGGCGATGCTGCCTTCCCACATGTAGAGTTGGGCTTAGAAAAGGTCGACCCTGAAAATGCACATCTCGCCTTATTCCACGGATATCCGTCTCTGGCTGCATGTTCCCAACAATTACTTAACTAACAAGAAAATTACTCACAAAAAGGTCGTGAGTGACCGACCTCAAGCAGTTGGGCACTGCGGTTACGCTCTCAGGTCACTAAAACCACCTCTAACATCATTTTACTTTCACGTTCCTTTGTACTTGATGTCCTCCTGATTTGCTATTACCATTCATCTGATCTTACAACACAGGCATGTTTATTGGCGCCTGATAATGATAGTTTTTCCTAACTTAAATCCAGCATTTGACTCTAAGGACCGAGAGGTTCTGTGGCAGTGTGTGTTATTGAAAAGCGTATCTGAGACGTACATAAAGCGTGTGAAGGCTCTTTACTCGAACACTACTAGTCGAGTCAGAGCTTATGACGAACTGTCATCTGATTTTGCAACCTCTAGTGGCGTTGAACAGGGCTGTTCACTGTTTTCATTTTTGTCAACTTCAGCGTAGACATACTGCTGGAAATAGCGTTCTCGTCGACTGAATTTTAAGGAGTAGATCTTCTACCAGGAGGTGCACGTATCGACTTAGAATACTCAGATGATGTTTGGCGAAGACGCTGATAAAATTCAGAGTGCTTTGGTAGCACTGAGAAATAATGCCAGGACGTTTGGGATGCGTTTCTCCCTATCTAAATTTACGTTGTTTCTTCAGGACTGGTCTGCGTTAACACATGAACTAAGGATAGGGAAAGAAGTGGTCGAATGCATCGATGACTTTAATTATCTTGGAAGTCTGATGAACCGAATGGGTTGGTGTCTGACGAAATCTCTGCATGGACTCAAAAATCTCATTTGGCTTTAGCCAACACGTCATCCATCGTCAGGGCGAGATATCGGTCTACCAATTAAGGGGTGAGTTTACTGTGCGGCAGTCCGTTCGGTTCTAATTTACGGCTGCGAAACATATAGAAGATACTTGTAAGTTACTAGTTTTTGTTCACATATGTCACATAAATATTTCTAGCACCAGCTAGTTTCACCAGGTAAGTTGCAGTGGGGTTCGATGCAAGATATTAGGGTATGATGGTAAGTCAGTTGATGAGTCTGTGAGTCTTCATTGACTGAGATGGTTGAGCCACGTGTTACATATGCCCTAACATCGATTACCAGGACGAGCAATGCTGACAAGCGTTGGAGACTGTTAGAAGAAAGTTAGTGGCGACCGAACCAAAACGTGGCATCAGTGGTTGAAGTCACTAACTTCTAGTCTCAGTCATGCTGGTAGATGCAGACTACTTGGTGGGGGTCCGCGTGACTATCGTAACCAATAATTGGGGACTGTGTGACATGGCTCAGAATCGACCGAATGACGTAGGTGTATACACACTCTGTCCTTCCTTAAACCTTGAAATTAACATTGCCTTTCGGTATTCACCTTCTTGTGCTTATGACGTATGATAACGTGGACTCATACATATGTGCGTCTGGTCCTACGTTGTAGCTGACTGACTGACTGACTTAAAAAATATATTTACATAGTAGCAACCTACTGCTGTAATTTTAGGAATACAATGTTGTCCGAAAAAATAATACTACCTTTGATTAGGCAGTTTTCTTGTATTTCCGGCCTGACATTTTTATCATTTCCGAGATAAGTGTTCAGGTAAAATAATTTGTCTATTAAATGTTTTATCGACTTCGACTTGTTTAATTATACCTTCCATCTGTGAGAACACGAATGTAATAGTTAGTTGGTATGTATTGCACAACAATTAAGCCATACATTTATCGTATTTAAAAGCATATGCCAGAATCCTTGAAATCAGTTTTAATAACTAACGTTATAGACAGCCTAATGTTCTTGAATGTAAGTACAAATTTTGATAAGTATAAATAGCGAAACAATGCATTAAATATTAGACCGAAATGCAACCACAGTTTCAATCGCACACCTCATGTTTGCTGCATTACGTAGATAAAATTTATACTGAATAAGTAACATGGAGCTATAAATGATAAATTAACTTTGGAGCTAAAGCATGTAATGCACAATTACAAACGTCTAGGCTATCGTATATATACAAAACGTGTAGTTATTCGCAAATAACACTCTCATGGTTGACTAACCTTGAATAAATCATACTGTGAATGATTTTTTAAATCTTCACTCAGAACCACTCGAACACGGAATTTTTCACCAACCATGAATTCACTTCTTCGGCGCATATTAGGTTTAAGTATATTCTTTAAAGTATTGCAATAACTATTATTGAATCGAATACAAAATTACGGTATAGTTTTGTACTGCCAAACATTCCACAATTCTCTCCTTCAAGAGAAACAAATACATAATGATAAGCAGTAATGACATTTTCTTAAAAATAATCAGAACAGAAGCAAATTCTTTCTATTAACGTTTTGGTATTAATCTGTTCACATAGCGACTTATATAGATTTTACGGCTGACATAGATAATTAAACAAACAGTTTTAATGAATTTGTAACCTCTTTTAGTAAGTATTCAATCATAAACAACAATGTTATCTTTTTGCAAATTCAATTTTTCTTTGAGAAAAACAAAACCACATTTCAATTACTCTCAGATTCACTACATTTTATGATCACAATCAATATTGCGTAGGTTGAACAAATTTTTGGATACTTAAATTATTATCTCAAAGCAGTCTTGTTGTTAAAACAAAAGACGTGATCAATTAAACAATTACTAAACGTTGATGGACTATCATTTGTTCTATTGAGATTTGGAAGTTTTATTTGACCACTGAAATCCAGCAGATATATCGCTTGATTTGGTTACTTCTCAGAATTGACCAGACCATGATGTACAACACTAGACTAATCTCACTGACAGATTTGTTTATGACATTTGACAAACTCTATCTCTACGACACCATAATAACTTAGTAGAAATCAATATTTTTAAAAAGAAAAAATGTTGTACCAAAGAGATGCGCTCAATTTATGTTCTACCATTACCAACACAATACATTGTCGCATTGTTTTTTGAATCCTCACATTGAAGCTCAGGACTGAAACTGGTCAGTCTCACTCAACATACGTGCATTTCGTGCAGATTGCCTCGATATTGCTTTCAGTTACAGGTATAATAAGCACAGATAGATGATGGTTAGCAGTGAAATACAGGACTCGCGAGATGGATGTACCTGAACCTCAGAGTTGATGTTCACTCCTGAACTTGAACACAGTCCCGTTCGCTTCAAATGCCAGTGAGTTAACCACTGAGCTACTGAGTCCAGATAGCCACTAGCCTGTGCAATGGGATGAAGTTTTTATTCGTTTTAGTATTGGTTGTTTGAATTCCCCAATGTATTTAGGACTACAGTTATTCGATAGCAAAGTGCATAAGGCGATGGTGTTTGAGGCGAACGGAACTGGGTTCATGTCCATTAGTGAACGTCAAATCTGACATGCTGGCACATCCATTTGACAAGTTTCAAGTGGATTGTGACGTGCACCCTTGACTCCACTGATAGCCACTGTCTACCTTTGCCTACTTTACTAATATAACGCTTTAGACAGTCGTCTATAATTACGAAATTTATAGTCATACATAAATGATCAAAAGACATGTATTACTATTTTAAAATAAGATGAATCTAAGGATAAACAAGTTGACTAAACATTGAACAAAATATTTTGTGATTACTGTAAGCAGGTTGTTGTTGAAACTGTTAGAGGATCAAGCGTACAAAAAAATTAATTCCAGTGAATGAACGCACAAGTTAACAAAGAAGAGGAGTTCGGTAGCAAACGTCCGAACATAGAAAGTCGTGACAGTTTACTTCGTAAAAATATTTTAACAATCCAAGATACTCTTCTACAAAGGCATTAGAAAAGTACAGGTATTACACAACCGATATATATATATATATTCTAGCTTCCGGACAAGTCAATTTATTCGTTTTTCCTGAGTCACATTTTGATCTTGTTAATTATTCACTTTAAACTCTTGACTGTTTTTATATGAGCATGTGTGTGTGCACCTCTTATCCAATTCATCACATGTTTGTAACTTATTTTTATCTGACTCTAAATATCAACGAATGACCTTCTGCACTCATACTTTTGACGAACAAACTCAGCAAAGCCAGGTCAATCGATAAACAACGCAGTTTTTGATCATGTGACCGAATCAGAGAGATCACAACATCACTAATGTGGTAAGTCTGAATTCGAGCTAAACACACTCTGTAAATCTGCGCAGATGGTGAACATCTCGAACTCTACGCGTCCGATAAACAAACTAAGTGGCTGACTAAATCGACGAGCAACTCAAATGACTCAATCTCTGGTCCGAAGTATTCATCGAAGACGGTACGGTAGGTATATGGGCATATTCAAATCGTATTTTAAAGAGAGCAAGAACAAAGATTGGTGCAGAATAATATGAATTCATTTTATTTCGTTAGGTTCTCATCAGCTGCTTACAACCTAAAATATTTGAAATTCAACGTTATTACAGTTATTGACATACTTATACATCAGAGGGTAATGAAGGATGAATATATGTAACATGATGTAGCAAAGATTCTGATAGAGTTAATGAAGTCATAGAATTTGTGTTTGGAATATATGAAATTTGGGAGGGAATGTTCCAGAACATTGAAATAGTGAGTAGAACTCATGGAATTTAAACACATTAGATTATTATGTAATGAAGTAACTGAAAATAGAATAATGGTAATAAAATGAGACGTGAATTGAAATTGGTCAGTTATGAATGATGTATTTGTAAAATTCAGAAAGAGTTGGAATGACGTAATATATAAAAAGGAGGGGAGTAATGTTACCAGGGCAAAGAAAGATTTATTACTGTTTCTTTTTGTATACAAAGATATGGTTTTAAACGTTTGATTGCTATCGCTTCGGCAAATCTCAAAAGGTTTGAATTTGATTGTTTGTTGATCACCTTGAAGGACTTCAGTATTTCTACTTCGTGTCCTGTGTCAAGGAGATGTCTTGCGATAGCGCTGCTGAATGCTTTTAGTTCGTTTGATCTCAAACTCTTCGGAATATGTTCTTTGAATCGGACGTACGCTCTCCTTCCTGTTCTACCAATGTAACTGATTTGGCGGATACATGTAAATTTGTATACACAGTTGGTGGTAACATGAAAGGGAAACCTGTCGATCTTTGATTGTGTCAAACAACATGTTGTTTAGGACAGGGCAATTAATTTAGCTGCACGATAAGTTTTTTGTCAATGCAGTTTTTAGTCTCATATCGATTGACCCTGTGACATTGTCACCTTTGAATTTGAGTTGAATAAAAACAGGTTTTTTATTTACTGTAGTTTCTTTGGGTATTTTATCTTCACGTTTTCCATATTCCTCAATAAATTTCAACGGGTATCCGTTATTCCTTAAAAACTTTTTAACATTCATAACTTCCTCTTCTATTGTATCAGCAGTACACATTCTTTCTGTTCTGTGAAACAATGTTTTTTATAATTGATTGGACAAAAGCTGTTGAAATTGAGATAAATCCCATTCCATGTGTCTTTCTTATAATCTGAGCGTTGAACTGTACCATCCTTTTTTGTTTCATCGCGATATCGAGAAAATGAAACTTGTTTTCTTTTTCATATTCCATATTGAAATGAATATTTGGATGAGCTTCATTGAAAAACTTTAGCAGATTTGTTGCATGTTGTTGATTATTACATACGATGAAGGTATCATCAACATACCTCGAATAATACATCATTTCATCAATCGCTACTTTGAGCTTGGTTCTTTCGAGGTTAGCCATGAAAATGTCTGCTAGGACAGGGCCTAAGGGACTTCCCATTGCTACACCATCGGTTTGTCGTATATAGTATTGTTGAATTGGAACTGAACATCTTTTGTACACATGAGTAATAGTCCTTTGAATTCTGTTGCTGGTAGAGGTAGGATGTCCGGATGCTGACAAATTATGTCTATGGTTTCAAGAAGTGGTATTTTTGTAAACAATGACGTCACATCAGAAGAAACCATAAACTTACCAGCAATATTTATGTGATCCATGATGTCAGAAAATACAAATGAATCCTTTAGTGTATAGCTGGCTAATCGTTGGCGGACTGGTTCTAATTTATCTGCCAGCCGTCGTGCAACTTTGTGGTATGGTGAATTGCCCATTGACAGAATAGGTCTAAGAGGATTATCTTGTTTATGTATTTTCGGTAAACCATACATGTGTTGCAAATGAGACCCACGAGGTCGTAAGTTATTGCAAGTAGAATTACCAATGAAATCGTATTATCTTATCGGTACTTCGTCTTCGTGTCAAATCTAATTGGTCTATTCGGCGGATCATCCCATTATGATTGTGATATTTATCATTTTTGTGATTATGTTGTTGTTGTATCGCCCAACATGGGACTATCACTTTTGTTCATGCTGACAGTAAATTATAATATTTACGCAGTCATATTACTCAGTAAACAAATTAAGATTTTGTGAACCTTCTGTTCACGTTATGACGTTCGAAACTCACTGGATTCGTTCCAATTTTTTCGTGTCATGTTTGGCCTGATAATACACTCACTTACAAATATGTGGTCACTTTTATATTTCCTTACCACAAATTTTTCAGTTCTATATCACTTTCAATTACGTCTGTGGATGCCTGTAGTTCTATTAAGCTTTTTTCTAAAATTGATTATCTTTATTTTGTTCTGGATCATTTATCACACCAATAGCTTAATAACCATCGTTTATTTCTGTGCATATACGGCTATCACATATCGTATATTTATAACAAATTTACTTGCTGCCCCTACATCGAACAACCTGAAACCTGCTTAGTAAATCGGCGGTTTAGCGACATGCACATGCAAGCGAATCGTCAGCTTCTGCAAGCTGATAACGACATGTTTGCAGCTATACCAATGCTAGCAAGGACACGAGTTTAGAGTCATACATCCAGTGGTAAAAACTTATGTTCTCGATACGCAACTAACGTTTATTCACCTCATTGGTACTCAGCAATCGTCGTTTCCTACTTTTTCAACGACAATCTGAACCAAAGTTCAGCCATATTTTGCTTAATTGACGATCCATACTTTATTGCTTACATGCATATCAGATATTCGACGCCGCATTACTAGTCAGTTAGAAACAATTAAGTTCATCTCATTTTTTCGTTCACATGTATAACTTCATACTGCATCACCCACTATTCATAAAAACTACTCAATT